TAGCTAGTTGCCGGGCACGGTGGCCCAAGCCTGTAATCCCAGCACTTTGGGAGGCCGAGGCAGGTGGATCACGAGGTCAAGAGATCGAGACCATCCTGGTCAACATGGTGAAACCCTGTCTCTACTAAAAATACAAAACATTAGCTGGGCATGGTGGCGCATGCCTGTAATCGCAGCTACTCAGGAGGTTGAAGCAGGAGAATTACCTGAACCCAGGAGGCAGAGGTTGTGGTGAGCCGAGATCGCGCCATTGCACTCCAGCCTGGGTAACAAGAGTGAAACTCCATCTCAAATAAATAAATAAATAAATAAATAAATAAAAATAAAAATTAGCTAGTCATGGTTGCATGCAACTGTAGTCCTAGCTACTCAGGAGGCTGAGGCAGGAAGATTGCTTGAGCCCAGGAGTTCAGGTTATAGTGAGCTGTGATCACACCACCGCATTGCAGCCTAAGGGACAGAGAAAGACCCGTCTCTAAAAAAATTAAAAATATAAAAGGATTTCATTTTGAAGTATTAGTAGCAAATGAAGGTTCTGCTATTATTTTGCATTTCTCCCCACATGAAACATTTTTTCTTTCATTTAGGATTGTCAATACAATAAAAATCACATTTTATTATATAACTAAGGTTAGAATAAGCCATGTTGCTGATTATGATGGATATGTTTTTAAAATTCAGTACATAATATTTAGTACAGTATATAAATGTTTCATAAATTATTTTTTATGATAATTCTGTAGCTGAAAAATATTTCCAATGAATACATATTAATTGACTGAAAGCAGGACCTCTTTATGCTACCCCTTTCCTTGGAAAAACAGGGAGATTTTGGCCCTAGAGCCTCTGAAATCTGCAGAATCTTCAGAGGAGGCAAATCATTTCCACCCACCTCTACATTATTATTATCGTTATTGAGACAAAGTCTCTTACTGTCACCCAGGCTGCAGTGCCCCAATCTTGGCTCACTGCAACCTCTGCCTCCCAGGTTCTACTGATTCTCCTGCCTCAGCCTCCTGAGTATCTGGGACTACAGGAGTGCACCACCACTCCTGGCTAATTTTTGTATTTTTAGTAGAGACGGGTTTTCATTATGTTGGCCAGGCTGGTCTTGAACTCTTGACTTCATGATCTGCCCACCTCAGTCTCCCAAAGTGCTGGGATTATAGGTGTGAGCCTCTGGGCCCGGCCAGCTCTACATTATTAAAATGTTCAAAGAGAATCGTCTTTGGCACTGTTTTGAATAATTCTGTTCTAATAAGACATTAGCATTCATCTTATTACTAGTTGTGCCAGATGAGTCACTCATTTAAGACTCAGTTGTTAACAGATATTCAAAATGGCTTTGATATACAAATCAAGTCATTTGAATGACAAATACGTTATATACTGGACACCAGTCCCCAACCTTTCTTCCCTTCCCTTCTCATTCACTACCCCACCCTGCTCTTCCCTCCACTCCCATTTCCTTACCATACCTCAGAAATTGAAATTACAGCCATCTTCACGTTGATGAAACCCCCAAATAGTAATATTTTATTTTCTTCTTTGTGATAATTGTGCAGCAGCAGTCAACTAATAACACCATTCGCCATTCTGCTTATGCTAAGTAAACAATAAGTGTATTTCGTGAATAGTACTGCTACAGAAACTGGATAAAAATAAGTGAAGGGGGCCAAGTACAATGGCTAACGCCTGTAATCCCTGCACTTTGGGAGGCCGAGGTGGGTGGATCACCGGAGATCAGGAGTTGGAGACCAGCCTGGCCAACATGGTGAAATCACATCTCTACTAAAAATACAAAATTTAGCTGGGCATGGTGGTGCATGCATGTAATTCCCAGCTACTTGGGAGGCTGAGGCAAGAGGATTGCTTCAACTTGGGAGGCAGAGGTTGCCGTAAACCAAGATTAGGCCAGTGCACTCCAGCCTGGGCAACAGACTGAAACTGTGTCTCAGGAAAAAAAGAAAAAAGTATATGATAATTTGTGGGCTGCTACACTGGTAAGGGCTAGAAGATGGGAAATATGGTATTTTGTTCTCCTTAGAAAAACAAGGAACAGGGATCAGGTGCAGTGGCTCACACCTGTAAACCCAGCATTTTGGGGGGCAGAGAGGGGAAGAAGGCTTGAGGCCAGGAGTTCATGACAAGCCTAGGCAACTTAGTGAGACCCTATCACTATTGTGAAGCCAAAATATCTGAGACAGGTCTCAGTCAATTTAGAAAGGTTATTTGGCCAAGGTTAGGGATGTACCTGTGACACAGCCTTAGGAGGTTCTGATGACATGTGCTCACGGTTTTTGGGGTGCAGCTTGCTTTTATACATTTTAAGGAGACATAACACATCAATAAATACATGTAAGGTTTACATTGGTTTTATCTGGAAGGGAAGGACAACTCAATGGTTGAAGGAAGGGTATGGGTCTTCCAGGTCATAGGTAGATTTATTTATCTATTTGATTGATTGTTTATTTATTTATTTATTTTAAGATGGGGTTTCACCATGATGGCCAGGCTGGTCTTGAACTCCTGACCTCAGGTGATCCACCCACATCAGCCTCCCAAAGTGCTAGGATTATAGGCGTGAGCCACCGGGCCTGGCTTATAGGTAGATTTAAACATTTTTTGATTGGCAATTGACTAAAAGAGTTATTATCAGTAGAAAGGAATGTCTGGGTTATGATAAGGGGTTGTGGATAAGGGTTGCAGAGACCTAGGTTTCTGCATGCAGATGAAGGTTTCATCATGCAGATGAAGCCACCAACTAACAGGCTTTGGAGAGAATAGACTACTATGTAAAGGTCTGTGTTGATGTTAATTTTAGAGAGGTATAATGAAGCATGTCCAGTCCCTTCTTCCTTCATGGCCTAAACTAGATTTTCAGGTGACTCTGGCATGTCCTTGACTGAGAGGAGGGGTCCATTCAGATGGTTGGGGTCCTTAAAATTTTATTTTTGGTTTACACTATTAATTTTTTTCCTTTCTGAGACAGGGTCTTTCTCTGCTGCCCAGGCTGGAGTGCAGCGGTGCAGTCTTGGCTCACTGCAGCCTCCGCTCCGGGGTTCAAGTGATTCTTGTGGCTCAGCCTCCCAAGTAGCTGGGATTACAGGCCTGTGCCACCATGCCTGGCTAATTTTTGTATTTTTTGTAGAGAGGAGGTTTTGCCATTTTGGCCAGGCTGGTCTCGAACTTCTGGCCTCAAGTGATGCATCTTGGCCTCCCAAAGTGCTGGGATTACAGGTGTGAGCCACTGCACCTGGCCTACACTATTAATTTTAAATATATATGTATATATATATATATATATATATATATATATATATGTGGGTGTGTATATATTTATGTGTATAATAAATGAAAAGAAAAACTACGAACAGATAAGTTTGGTCTGACTTTGGTGTCATTAATTAAATATCTACTGCCTGTTCTTTAGGAGACAAAACTGCCACTCAATGGTTTTTTTACATATCAATGAGGGCACAAACTGAGGCAACTTCCCTAAACCTCAGCCCCAGCTCAAAGGTATATTTACATAACCTTATTCTAAACAAAGGACAAATGGGAAGTAGGAGAACAATTTGGTTCACGTTTCACCAAAAATAGATTTCCTTCAGGTTAAAGGCAGAGACTTCCAAATCATTGTGAGACAGCCAAGTATAAAGGGGTCCCAGGAGACATTCCAACTGGCCTGCACACTGGGAGAGTGGGATGAGCCGTGGAAGTTCTCACCCTTTGCATGGGGCAGATCTGGGATTCAGATTCAAGCCTGGCCTCTCCTGTTCTGGGGTGAAACCTGGGATTCAGTCTGTAAGGCAGGAAGCCAGCTAGCAAAGAAGAGCCCCCATTTCCCTTTTTTCTTGTTGCCCAGGCTGGAGTGCAATGATGTGATCTCGGCTCACCACAACCACTGCCTCCCAGGTTCAAGGGATTCACCTGCCTCAGCCTCCCGAGTAGCTGGGATTAGAGGCATGTGCCACCAACCCGGCTAATTTTGTATTTTTAGTAGGGACAGGGTTTCTCCATGTTGGTCAGGCTGGTCTCGAACTCCTGACCTCAGGTGATGCACCCACCTCAGCCTCCCAGAGTGCTGGGATTACAGGCATGAGCCACTACACCCGGCCTTTTCTCACCTTTTGAAGTATCTGTGAGCCTAATCTCTCATGGCCCTGTGACAAGAACCTGGCTTTTAGCTGAACTAAGAAGTCCTGCAACATTGTAAACACCTATTAATCCACCATTACATATAGGTACAATATGGATCTTTGGAAATTAGTTAAGAATGATTTTAATGTGAAATAATAGCAGCAATATAGTTTAGGAACCATGATGGCGAGGCCTCATTGATGCACACATCTGCTGGAGACTGAGCATATGGTTAGTACCTGGTACATATGTAAAAACTGCAATTACAGCTTCTACTTAGTAAGATGATTGATTCTGAGTAAATGTTTGAGTTTTCCAGGCTGTCTTACTTTTTTTTTTATAATTGAGCTTTTGCTGTTTGGTTGGTTGGTTGGTTGGTTGGCTGGTTGGTTTTTCATGGCAGACATTTAGGAGGAGCAAAGCCTAGCAAAAGGAAGATTGTGTTTGCAATATAACTAAATCTAATTATATTATTAGTAAGACCAGGAAAATACACAAAACCTAACAGAAAGCAGGGACAATAACAACACACTAAAGGACTCTTTGAAGCTACTTGTTCCACGATAAATGTGATGATAGCAAATGAGCATGCATAGTAGAATAAAATTGTTTCTGTCTCATATATTTAGCATTCACCAGTTTTATTTCATGGCAAGCCGTTGTCTATATAGTGACAGAATATTCCATAAAGAGATGGACTAGAAAGTGGCTTTTTTTTTTTTTTAGATAATCATAATAAATTATCAGCTTTACCTGTAAAGCACAGAACCAAATATTTTAAATGTAAGTTCAAATTCCATTCTCAAAAAGGAACATGGGGATCATTTTAAAAGCCTTAACTTGCTTGTCCTATGCAGGAAAGGCTCCAGAAGAGCAGAGACTGAAGTCTACTACACAGATTGAGTTGCATTTTGATCGATATTTCAGGTACAACTACCACTTCATTATCTGCATGTGAATTTCCCATGGGCAATTTCCATTCCCAGACTACCTTGAACCTCTCAGCCAACACCAGTCAGATCTCTCATGGCCACACCACAATATGTGCACAAGGGATGTGAAATCCTTTAAAATTTAGACCAAAAGAAAGAGTTTAGGCAGTCAAATCCATTGAGTGGAAAGAAATCCATTAAATTTAATTCAAAATATATTATGGTTTATCCACTATTTTGGAAGAACTCCATTATTGCTTGCTTCTAATAGCAAAGTTAATGAAGAATTGATTGCTATTTCAATGAGACCTCTCTGCACACGCACGTTTACTAAGAACTCACCTAAATTGTAGCTCATTTTTAATGTGGAACAGAAAACTCAGTTTGTCCCTGCATATCTCATAACAGGTCATTCTAGAATGATTCTAACAATACATTTCAGTAAACCGTATTACACTTGGACAACCAGCAGAAATCTAGAATAATTGGGTCACTGAAGAATAAACATTAAAGGCAGGGCAAGGGGTTAATCATGGAGCAAGGACTTCATTAAAGAAACTAGTAATATCCAAAATTCTTCAAAGGCTGCATTGGGGATACTGTTTAACATTAACACAGAACTCTCCAGTTGGTTGGAGAGCAGAAGGGAGAGGTCTCTATAAGCATAAGAAGCCTGCCTTGGTTCCCTGCTTTCTTTTATTTATTTATTATTATTACTATTATTATTATTATTTTTTTTTTTTTTTTGAGATGGAATTTTGCTTTTGTTACCCAGGCTGGAGTGCAATGGTGCAATTTTGGCTCACCACAACCTCTGCCTCCCAGGTTCAAGCCATTCTCCTGCCTCAGCCTCCTGAGTAACTGGGATTACAGGTGTGTGACACCATGCCAGCTAATTTTGTATTTTTAGTAGGGACAGGGTTGCTCCATGTTGGTCAGTCTGGTCTCAAACTCCTGACGTCAGGTGATCCACCCACCTTGGCCTCCCAAAGTTCTGGGATTACAGGTGTAAGCCACCGTGCCTGGCCTGTGCTTTCTAATTATTTATTTCTCTGGGCAGGCACACTTTCTTCAAACTTCTTCACTATGATCTGAGGCTGGTGGATCATAGGTCAGGAGTTCGAGACTAGCCTGGCCAACACAGGGAAATCCCATCTCTATTAAAAAAACAAAAATTAGCTGGGTATGGTGGCACATGCCTGTAATCCCAGCTACTCCGGAGGCTGAGGCAGGAGAATTGCTTGAACCTGGGAGGCGGAGGTTGCAGTGAGCCAAGATGGTGCCATTGCATTCCAGCCTGGGCAACATGAGCAAAACTCCATCTCAAAAAAAAAAAAAAAATTCCAAAATTAAGCAGTAAAACCTGGCTCTAAAGAGCATTCTAAAATATTTATGTCTATCATCAGCTATATGCAATTATATCTTAGCAGTTATCTCTAAAACTGATCATAATATGAGCTGGCTGCAGTAGCTGATAATCCCAATTACTCAGGAGGCTGAGTTTAGGACGATTGCTTGAGCCCAAGGCTGGAAGACCAGTCTGGGCAAAATAGTGAGACCCCATCTTTAAAAACATATACACACACAAAACTGGCCATAATAAACATTCAATAATCATTTGCTGAAGGAATTAAAATTTTAAATTTTAGTTACAGAGCAACTTAATAATTAAGGAATGGGTCTTCTCTGATCCTCTGCTACCTTGATTCTAGTCGTTCTAGTCATACTTTAAATTTATTAAAGTATTTTTAGAGAATCATTCTATAAATCAATTGTTCCTTTACATCTAGATGCCTCCAGGCAGTTTGAATTTATGTTGCTTCTTTTGGTAAAAATAGGGAAAATCTAAGGATAGAACAATAAATATTCTGTTGAATATTTCACAAGTAGTTACAATAGACTTATTATACCTTTAAGTCCCTTCATACTGAGATTATATGTTTCATCTGGCTAAAGTCTTTTAATCTTTTTTTTTTTTTTT